TGAGATAAAATGATAGGACCAAATGGTGAGACAACCAATGGAATCAAATGATGGGTCCAAATGATGAGACTATCTAATGATATTTTTTTGAGATCAACGAATGAGACATAATGATAGGAACATTCGTTAAGTAACGGTTGAGACCAAATGGTGAGACCATTCATTAAGAATTACAAATGAGAAAAACTGATTAGGACAACGGATGAGACCAACTGATGAGACCGAATGAGAGAGAGAGAAAAAAAAATGATTTACGTGGCAACTGATAAGACTGATATGATAAATAATATATATAACTGATATGATAAATGATTATATAAATGATATGATAACGAAGATGTTAAAATGATACGACTAATATGTGATTACTGAAACAACTAACTAACCTGACTAAATGTATGACCAATTGATTCGCCTAACTTACTGATAAGACAAAAAGATGGTACTGAACTGATGTGGAAATGACACAATTATAAGGCTTGCTTAAGTGCCAAAAATTGTAACAGTTGTCTGGTGTTATTTGATCATTGTAACTCTACCATCTTGTCTAACTAGGGTCATCTATCTGTTTGAAATGCGCAAACAGTCTTAAAGTTTGCTTACAAGGACAAGTCATGACTGAAAGTATCAGTTGTGTAAGTTGAGTGTGGACTGAATGTATCGGTGGTGTAAGTTGAATATGGACTGAATACCAAAGATTTATAGGTCATCCAAAACATGACAATCTAATCAATTAGACTGGGGATAACTCTGGTTCAAACACGTTATTCAACGTATGACAAGCGTACACAACCAGCAATACAATTATTCTTCATGACGAGCCATACCATAATCATGTTGGATAATAAAGTTGAACACCAACAATCATAAGTTAAATCGAAAAACCTTAAATAACATTTAATTAATACAGAATATATGTATCGGGATTTAGCTTATATGAAAAGTACACAGTTTGGCTCTCCGAGTATATGTGGGATACGATAGAGTCCTTTACAATCTCAATATATTTATGTTCGCAATGAGTTCGTACCTATTTTCAGCACGGGGGACGATGAGGAACTCGATGATTCTGTCGATGTAACCCTGAGCGCACGGCAGCACGTTTAACTTGAGCACCAGAAGTATCATCGCTAGTTGGATGATGGACGGCGTGCATGCACACTAAATGTATTTAAAAAAACAACGCATTTTCAGGATGTGCAACTGGAACGCTAGAAATCATAGGCGTAAGTTGTCAACGCACGTACGCGCGGGTCTACAAAAGACAAGAAGCGCGGCCTTAAGTCTATCTATGGCGATATCATTTGTGTAAGGGGTAGACGCAGCTATAGCGTTAGCAAAGTCAATTAAACTATAAACGCTACTTAGCATGATCAGTAATGAACAGGAGTCACCCATGATAAACGCATAATAAAATGCACTCTACTGCGCACTTAGGATATAACATGGGATCCAATTGTTGGTGTCTAATTGATCTAATTACAAAATGGCCAGATAGATGAGTGAAATTACTTTAAAATAATGTTGCCGGCTTCAAATCTTCTTTATTAATTCAGAGATGAGAGGGTGGCATCGGACCTGTCTTAAATAAGATACAAATGAGGGAAATGACGTCATTTTGGTCATGAGATAGTCACTAACCATGCATGAGTGACCAAACAAGTGGTTAAGGACGGGTTACTTTTAATTTCTGTCGTGTGTGAAGTTCTATAGCACAGAATGTGGTTTACCCACAGCTATCAAATTGACAGCGCTTGAGCACAGAATGTGGTTTACCCACAGCTATCAAATTGGCAGCGCTTGAGCACAGAATGTGGTTTACCCACATCTATCAAATTGACAGCGCTTGAGCACAGAATGTGGTTTACCCACAGCTATCAAATTGACAGCGCTCGAGCACAGAATGTGGTTTACCCACAGCTATCAAATTGACAGCGCTTGAGCACAGAATGTGGTTTACCCACAGCTATCAAATTGACAGCGCTTGAGCACAGAATGTGGTTTACCCACAGCTATCAAATTGACAGCGCTTGAGCACAGAATGTGGTTTACCCACAGCTATCAAATTGACAGCGCTTGAGCACAGAATGTGGTTTACCCACAGCTATCAAATTGACAGGGCTTGAGCACAGAATGTGGTTTACCCAAAGCTATCAAAGTGACAGACAGAATATGTTACCTCATCACAATTAAGTGACAACTTGCCTTATAAATTATTTTATTTATTTAATTTTTCATTATTTGTTTATTATCCAGTGAGGTGCCACGTCTATCACTTGAATGCTGTTATAACAGAAAGGAAAAAAAAAAGGAATTATGATGTGTCACGCAGATATTTGTTGACCCTTACAATGGCGGTAAATTTCTTGCGGTAAATGAAGTCAGGCGTGGATAAAAAGCGAGCGAAATCGATCCTCATTATTCATGTTCACTTATTTTAGCTTTTCCCCCAAGGAGGCTGAGCTTTGAGGAAACTCATCATTCTTCAGACTTCCGATTCTAATCGCTAATCTATCATTAATCGATCCCACCAAGCTTATTAGTGCGATTACGAGTTCTTGCTATTTAACTCTGTGCAAAGTCTGTGTAAGTTACGGTTGTAACAATACGTGAGGTTATGTTGCTAACAAATTTTACTAATAAAAGATTCAACATTGTTTCTGAAATCCCGCTTCTCTCTCCCCCCCCTACGGACACACACGCGCACACCACATGACAACATCACCAGTGTGATCAACGTAACAAACAAGACCTAATGCCATCGTCCGAATAGAGAAATTTTAATCGTGATCTCGTGATGAATTATTTGGAAGAATGGATTGTATGTTAATGCTTGTATTTCAATGACCCCCCTTTGTTTCCCCGGGGACAGACCGGCTTAATTGAACGTGAGATTCGTGGCGTCGGTTCTATTCTTGTTGACCAAAATTGAGAGCGAAGACGTCATCGTTAATGAAGTGCTTTAGTCCTCATTTAACGACGACGCTGCTTGAAACGAGCAATGGCAGGTGTTCTAAGAGTGGTAAATCCATGATTTTTTTTAAAATTATTATTTTTTTTTTAAAAGCCATCCGAATTTCAATGAAATTTCCGATGAACAAGAGACTTGGGGACGGCCACTGCTGCAGCGTGGATGAATTCAGGCCCCGTCACACCTATTGACTTTGAGAAGCACTGAGATATGGGACCTCGAAAAAAAAACAACAACTTTTCACTTTGAAATAACCTATCTCATCAGATAAGACTGACAACGTCAAATAACTAAGTTTGAAAGGAAATATTCCGATAAAATAGTTAACGCTAATAATCTCAAGGCCACATCCAATGAGCAATCGTATCGGCATCTTGATTGATTTCGTCATAACTAATTGGTCCGGTTAGAAAAGAAAAAAAGACACCGTTTTTTCCAAGGGCGTAGCCATGTACAAAGGTGTTCTTTTATGTGGGCGGAATCAACGTTTAAGATAACCACGCTATTTCATATTCAAATCTAGAATTTCAGACGGCTGGGGTAGTTTTTTTTTTTTTTTTTTTTTTTTTTTCGAAGTGTCGGCAGAAAGCCTTCACCAGAGAACAAAACAACAGAAAAAAAACGGTGTTGACATTTAAATCTAGAATTTCAGACGGCTGGGGTAGTTTTTTTTTTTTTTTTTTTTTTTTTTTCGAAGGGTCGGCAGAAAGCCTCCACCCGAAAACAAAAAAAAAAAAAAAAAACGGGGGTGGCATTTTACTATTTTTAACCTAAGGGGTTTTTTTTTTTTTTTGCAATTTTTTTTTTTTTTTTTTTTTTTTATCGAAGTGTCGGCAGAAAGCCTTCACCAGAGAACAAAACAACAGAAAAAAAACGGTGTTGACATTTTACTACTTCTAAGCTAAGGGCTATTTTATATTTTATGCAATTTTTTTCTTTTGTTTTGTTCGCTGACGAAGGCTTTCTGCCGACACGTTCGTTGTTTTGTTGCGTTACTTTTTTCAGGTTTAACCCTACTTTGTTTTACTCATTTTATATTGTGCTAACGTGATCGCAGTCGCTCATCTTATTACTATTTTAAAATATATTGGGGCCTAAAAATTTGGATTTTATTGGGGAGGGGGGCACAACAATCCTCTGCCCGGCCCTGGTGCGGGAGGCGGGTGGGGGGGGTGGGGGGGGGGGGGTTTGTGATGACAAAGTCTCACGGCATTCGATCTAACGTTTGTTAAAGTTGTTAAAATTGGCATTTACTCATTGACCTGGGGTGTTTTGCTTTCCCGGGGCAGACCTATTTGATACAAACACTCTGTTTTTCTGTCAGTGATTAGAAATATTTATAAAAAAAATATTTGGTCGACCCGGATACGTCTCTTCACAGCTGGGAGCCCAGTGCCACCATCCATTATGAAGTCATTGCCAGTTTAAAGCCCACGGCGAAAACAGTTACACCCAAATGTTTCTGTACTTTAGTGCTTTGCTATAAAATACTTCATTTGCTGTCTGGCTTTTCAAGGGGACAAAAAAGTATTATTAAAATATTCTTTTGAAGCCGGTCTGTGGTAACACTAATAACGTCTCATTGGAGATGGCGTCGGTGGGTCATTGAGCGCAAGTTCTTAATTCCCCACCCCCTACCGGCACACCTCTACACGGGCTGCACGCCGGGGACCTCCTTCCTTGTCCTGGGGGATGTCCAGTCGACCGAAAACGCTGCGTCTAAACCGTTCGCTGTCCACTCTCCTTAGGTCAGAAAGGCTTTGCTTCCACTCCGGGGAAAAGGTGTTGTTAACACTATTAAATTCTGACAACTTATTTTGTCTACAAAATGCATCTATCTTAATTTATCTGGTTAAAATCAAATGAAACTTTTTTGAAAGATATCTTAAATTTGTTTCCATTCTAATTATAGCTTAATAGTTATTATTAATATGATTAAAGCCACTTTTTTCAGTCGACATGTCATTTAATGTGCATTGAAGTTCAAAGAGAGAATACATAAGTAGACTTTGATCTTTTGAAAAATAACTTTCATTTCCTAACTGCAGCAATCGCGAGTCTATCGCATAGATAAAACAGTCCAATAAATACTAGGCCAGTAGAGCAGTGTATCTCTCATTGCGTGTTACATACTAGGCAACTAATGCAAAGCTTCTCATAGTGTCATAGGACTACAGCAAAATGTGGGCAGGACTCATAGTACGAGGTAAGACAAGCCAAGGGTTTCTCATCTTTTTAATACCACCTAAATGATACGTAAGTCAGGGTGGGAACGAGAACTGCGATTGGGGCGAAACATCAAAGTACCATCACATCGTCCGAAGCGAAACATCAAAGTACCACCAAACCGTCCGGGGCGAAGCATCAAAGTACCATCACACCATCCTGGGCGAAGCATCAAAGTACCATCACACCGTCCAGGGCGAAACATCAAAGTACCATGACACCGTCCGGGGCGAAGCATCAAAGTACCATGACACCGTCCGGGGCGAAGCATCAAAGTACCATCACACCGTCCGGGGCGAAGTATCAAAGTACCACCACACCATCCGGGGCGAAACATCAAAGTACCATCACACCGTCCGGGGCGAAGCATCAAAGTACCATCACACCGTCCGGGGTGAAACATCAAAGTACCATCACACCGTCCGGGGCGAAGCATCAAAGTACCATCACACCGTCCGGGGCGAAGCATCAAAGTACCATCACACCGTCCGGGGCGAAACATCAAAATACCATCACATCGTCCGGGGCGAAACATCAAAGTACCATCACACCGTCCGGGGCGAAGCATCAAAGTACCATCACACCATCCGGGGTGAAGCATCAAAGTACCATCACACCGTCCGGGGCGAAACATCAAAGTACCATCACACCGTCCGGGGCGAAGCATCAAAGTACCATCACACCGTCCGGGGCGAAACATCAAAGTACCATCACACCGTCCGGGGCGAAACATCAAAATACCATCACAGCGCATTCATCAATAGATGATGTATCATATAATCATATATGAAGATAAATGGATGATAGACAATTTTGGTGTCTCCGTTGTTGGCAGCTTTTGGCGCCCGGGGCATATGCCACATTTACCAACCTCTTATGATCACCGCATAGAGAAATGCGCAGTTACTGGTTTAGTGTTTCATTCAAACTTCTTTTACCGCAATCGCTTTGACACCTCTGTATTAATAATGAGGTTTAAAATGTTTTTTGACTTGATATTTTCACATTTTTTGAAAAGCTTCTTGTTTGAAACGATTTCCTGTTGCTAAAAGAAGTTATAACCGTAACGTACTTGTATTTGTTTGAATATTTAATGTTCCTTGTCCCCGGATCAATGTTCTATCCGACCAGCATCTTCCCATAAAGATTTTAATCTGCTGAAAATACTTTTCATTTACTTGGCCGTTTCTGTTGATCCCTGTCGTTTACTCCAGAAGGAGATGGGACCACTTCGGGATAGTGGTTAATAAATATTGCCTTTAACCGAAACGTACTTGTTAGAAGACGTCTCTATTTATTTTTCCCTTGACGTTACTTTTCAGATAAGCGTAGCAGTCTTGAGATACTAATGTAACCTTAGGGAACAAACTAAGCTGAGTCTAAGACTGTCTTCTTTTTACCTGATCTATGGGGACCTCGCTCAGAACCAGTGCACTCACGAAATAACACGCCCTCACACGCGCTCTTTCGTTAGAAATGGGATAAAATTATGCTGTGTCGTGGTCACAGGATTGCAAAGGATTGTTTTCAAATTAAATATTAACATTTTGAGAATAAAAATAACGATGCTTTTTAATGCAATAACGTATAGGTGCGTTTTAGGATTTAAAACAAAAATCCTCTTATGTTATGTGTGAAAGAGACAGAGATGGTCGACCTAAGTGCTGTATTATGTTGTAAATAATGCGTATTGAAAAATCCCTCATATGTGTTCTCCTGTTTTGAAGTTATGAACGTCAACATAATTGTAGTTGAAATTGTTACTCTGTTAAGTCAAGGGCGTAACCCAATAACTACATTTATGTTACAGCAGTTTTGTTGTTCAGCCTGGCTCTGCTGCCGACCTCAGAAGGGGGCAACCCGTTTAGTCCAGGACCGTACACTACGGGGAGCTACACCCTGACTCCAAAAGTCGATGGCATTCCATTGCACACCACAGGTACAGGGTGACTGGTCAAAGGACTTGTCACAACATGTCACGTGCAGGTGAAATAATCTAGGGCGGGGGAAAGGGGTCGTCAGCTTTACCTTCACACTTGATTAATACATTTTTATTTAATTTGATGGCCCCCTTAGCCCAGGGGTCGGGAACCTTTTTGTCTGTGAGAGCCATGGACACCACATATTTAGAAAAGTTATTCTGTGGGAGCCATACATTATGTTTAAAAAAATTCAAGTAAATGTGTGCATTTTGTGTAATTTCAACGATAACAATGCAATAATTATGTCTCTGAATCCTTTTAAATAACATTGTTATGCTGTTGCTAATCAAAGGAGTCTAATGATCTTCGAGCCAGATGCAGCCATCAATGGAGCCACATCTGGCTCGCGAGCCATAGGTTCCCGACACCTGCCTTAGCCGCTGCCACTGCAAGGGGTACCATATATTTAATGGGCCCACTAAATAAAACCATCAACTTTGAATGGAAAGGGCTCAAACCCGAAAAGTTGCTGGAGAGCCTCATAAAGTCAGGCGACACTGTCAGCTTAGACAGTATTTCTTAAAATGATTCCAATCTGTTTGCATTTCAGCTGAACTGTGAACGGAACAGCGGTTATAAAATAATCAATAATCAACAAGAGAGATATTTTAGTCAGTGTCTGTCAAATTAAAGTGTCTTTCTCTTCTCGAGCATACCTTATATCATTTTTTTTCTCTGAAATAAAACAAACAGGGTAGGTGAATACCTGAATTAAGCCACACAGAATAATTAAGGTAAGACACACACGGTAGGTGAATACCTGAGGTAAGACACACAGGGTAGGGAAATATCTGAAAAAAGACCCACGGAGTAGGGGAATAACTAAAAAAAGACACACGGAGTAGGGAAATACCTAAAATAAGACACACAGAGTAGGGGGATACCTAAAATAAGACACACACCGTAGGGGAATACCTGAAATAAGACTATTCATTACAACGAACGTGTCAGCAAGAAGAGCTTCTTTTAAATCAACAGAAACCGTGCAAATGGGAAAAAATACATTAGAACATATCTTATGTGGAGTCCGAGACAACGTTCAAGTGAAAGCTTTTTTTCTCTCAACTGTTTAATAATCCTTTCAATGATTAACGACGAGCTGGCAATAGTTGACATCTCCTTGCTGTACTTCGGGTAGGGCTCGTCATTGTTGTTCCCCCAGTTGGGGCTATTCATAGCTATAGTTCGGGTATAGGGCTATTCCTTGATGTACTTCCGATAAGGTTCGACCTGGCTGTACCCCGGGAAGGCCTATTCTTGCTGTACTTCGGGTAGGGGTGTCACTGCTGTAACCAGGGAAGGGTGTTCCTCAAACTTGTGTCCAAATCGACAGCCCCAAACTGTAACCTGGGCGTTAACCCCAACTTTAACCGTGCTAAACCGACCCCCCCCCCAAAAAAAAAGCAACCGCTCTCCCCCGTGATGCTAACTGTACTCGAACGCCTACCCTCCACAGTGTATCACCCACAGGCACAGGGCACGTTCCCGCCAATCGTGTTCATTGGTGGAATGTATGGCTACATGTTCGCTGAGGCCTACTCCACCTTCATGGCCGACCTGGCCAGCCACGGGTACATCATCCTAGGGATAGACAGGATTAACCCTCCTCCCCTGGCCAAGACTGGGCAAGTTACCACGGATGACGACAGACCATGGTCAAATTTAGAGGTTGGATCTGTCGAGTTGTATCTGAACACAACCAACTGGGTGAGTGGCGGTGCACTGGTAAAATATGGTAATAACAGCATATTGGTAATAATAGCATATTGGTAATAACAGCATATTGGTAATAATAGCATATTGGTAATAATAGCATATTGGTAACAATAGCATATTGGTAACAATAGCATATTGGTAATAATAGCACTTTGGTAACAATAACACATTGGTAATAATAATAGCACATTGGTAATAATAGCATATTGGTAATAACAGCATATTGGTAATAACAGCACACTAGTAAAAATAGCATTTTTGTAATAATAACATATTGGTAATAAAACATATTGCTAATAACAGCATGTTGGTAATAATAGCATAATGGTAATAGCATCATTTAAAAAGTCTACGTGATGAAACAAGTAACAAGCACACGATGAAATAGCATGTAGGTAATTTTTTTTAAAAAAACGTAGAATCTCACGCAAATATAAAATAGAACACTTTCTTAACAATATAAAATAGTACTGAAAAGATACACATATTATATAAAAAGGGAAATAATGGCGCTTTTTTAAACACCCAAAACAAGAATTCTCCAGAATAAATAAACACAGAACATTATTATTATTTTGTTTTTTGTTGAAAGTACGTGTTTCAAAATCAAATTAAAAAAAAAAGTACCTACCATTTTTAATTTATGCCTTCTGACTTGATGGTTTAAAGATTTTTGACGTTGTGGAATACAGTTAGATCTAGCCCAGTCGGAGAGCAGCACTTTTTTTAACGAATCCCCAGTAGTTATGCATACAGTTAGCCAAGTCGGAGAGCAGCACTTTTTTTTAACGAATCCCCTTTAGTTATGCATACAGTTAGCCAAGTCGGAGAGCAGCACTTTTTTTAACGAATCCCCTTTAGTTATGCATACAGTTAGCCAAGTCGGAGAGCAGCACTTTTTTTAACGAATCCCCAGTAGTTAATCAAGAAACCATCGCAGGCTTAGCAAGCACCTCTTTTTCCTTGTTGATGCAAATAGTGATGTGATGGCACGCTCCAAAAACTGAACATATTAACTCTGTTTTCAATTAACTTCCTATCTTCGCCCTGCTTACGTACTCTGCCAACCGTGTATGCTGATATTGTTGTTGTTGTCCTTCTAAGCTTCGTACACATCCCAGCAACACGTCAGCTGTTTTTGATTGGTCCAGAACCGTGTTGATGTGTCACTCGGCCGGCTGTGACGACACGCTGGTCATGGTCAACGTGAGCCGCTCGTTGGCGCAGGTGAGGCAGTGGTGCAGGTGGGGCAGTGGCGCAGGTGAGGCAGTGGTGCAGGTGAGGCAGTGGTGCAGGTGAGGCAGTGGCGCAGGTGAGGCAGTGGCGCAGGTGAGGCAGTGGTGCAGGTGAGGCAGTGGTGCAGGTGAGGCAGTGGTGCAGGTGAGGCAGTGGTGCAGGTGAGGCAGTGGTGCAGCTGAGGCAGTGGTGCAGAGTGCAGGTGATGCAGTGGTGTAGGTGAGGCAGTGATGCAGTTGAGGCAGTGGTGCAGGTGAGGCAGAGGCACAGGTGAGGCAGTGGTGCAGGTGAGGCAGTGGTGCAGGTGAGGCAGTGGTGTAGGTGAGGCAGTGATGCAGGTGAGGCAGTGGCGCAGGTGAGGCAGTGGCGCAGGTGAGGCAGTGGCGCAGGTGAGGCAGTGGCGCACGTGAGGCAGTGGTGCAGGTGAGGCAGTGGCGCAGGTGAGGCAGTGGTGCAGGTAAATCAAACACTATTCGGTGGTCTCGATCGAACTTTCGGGGACAACAGATTCAATGCCCCCCCCCCGCCCCCAGGGAGGCATATATTACAAGGAATCTCATCATCAAGGATCAGCCACTCTATAGGTGGGTCTTTAATTAATTTAACTTTCACAAAATGATCAAGGCCAGGCTGTCGATGGATTATATCCTGTTCCAAAGATGGAAACACAAACATTAGTCAGCTGCATAGTTGGTTCTCACAATGGGGTTTTTAAGGCCCTCTTAGCTGTTTAAGGGTATCTCCAAGTCAGTAAGAGTAGCTGAAGTATCTGACGCCCAGGATGGTCTTTGATTTTGCCGCCCCTAAGCAACAAAAAGGACATTGCATACATATTGCACATATAAAATAAGTTATGTGAAGTCTATAAAGTAGACCGAAAATGTCACCCGCCCCCCACCTTTGAAAAAAAAAAGTTCTGACCACTCCATCGCCCTTGTGTATAGTTAGTTCATGAGTTAGTCCCCTTTGATCAGCTGAAAATAACATAGGATTATTTTTTTAAAAAACACTATGCAGTTAGAGGGAGATAATCTCAGCATCAAAGCTTGGCCACTCCATATTTGGCTCATGAATACATTTAAATTTGACAGGCTGATCGCTCAGAGAGAGAGAGATAATAATATGTTCTGTGTGTTCTGGCGTGTTCGCAATATTTATTTACGTGAAGTTCACTTCCCAGGCTTCCGTCCACCTTGACCCCATGAGCGTCAACTCGTTGATTCTGCATCCGGTTGTGTCTCGTGTAAAGACGTTGGCGTACATGTCGCAGCTGTCCGAGGAGAAGCCGGAGTGCTGTATACCAGGGACGGACTACAGGAAAATATATGACCTCATGACCTGTGTCAAGGTCAGAATGCAGGTCAAGGACTTTGGGCACTGTGACATTCTCAATCAACCTTACTGGGAAGGTAAGTAAATATTTTACAAATAAATTCAATGGCATTTTGAAATCACGCAGTCAATTTTGTACCGGAAATATTAGTGCATTTTCATATGTAAACTTTGACCTTTGACCTGCCGTCCTCCAAAGCCCAGTTCTTAAAAACATTCCAACTGTTCTTGCAATTTTCGCCATTTTGTATGGGCAACACGAGATAACCTTAATACCGTATTCATGTCTTGGTATTAGGCGTGTGTGTGTATGTGATGGGAAGGGGAGGAGTTATCTTCTAATCTTAACAAATTCTGAACTTGAGTTAATACAGCAAGAGCTTTCACCATATCTCCACACATACACACACACATACACGCCAACATACACCCCAACATACACCAACACACACACACCCTTTCAAATTCGTTAATGCTTAAAAAAGGGGGCAAAACTTCTCTGGCGAGATCTGTCAGCGACACAGCCCGGTGGGCTGATGACAGAACCAGTTCAACTTTGTCATCACCAATTCTTATCACTGTAACTCACATCGACATTAAAGAGGGGCTTAACTAAACCAAGAAGAAGAACAATCAAATGGGCTAACGCAGTTGTGATGGAATTATTTGAAAACTTATGTCCTAAAAACTATACCATTTAAACATGTCAGGCCATTATCTTCAGTTATATAAGCGATGCTACCAAACTAACAAACCCAATTCCATGGACGATTCTACCAATCTGGTAACTTCAATTTCATGAACAATCAAAATTTCATTATAAGTATGCCATTACCAGTTTTAATAAAGTTATTGCGCAACCTTGCTTTTCAATGGTTTAAAAAAAATATTTTTTTTTACATTTTTTTTTTTTTAAAAAATACCAAACTTAGGAAATCGATCCTGTTTTTTTTTTTTTTTATTTCCAAGTTAATTGTATTTAATACTGGTGGCTCTTAGCAAAGGTAGTCAAAAATCCATACTTTTATGAACATTGAATGAATTTATCAAATTTTTTTTTTGTTAAATGGTTTAAAAAAAATATTTTTTTTTACATTTTTTTTTTTTTAAAAAATACCAAACTTAGGAAATCGATCCTGTTTTTTTTTTTTTTAATGTCCAAGTTAATTGTATTTAATACTGGTGGCTCTTAGCAAAGGTAGTCAAACATCCATACTTTTATGAACAGTGAATGAATTTATCAAATTCTTTCTTTGTTATATTTTCATTTCTATTGTTGGCTGATGAAGGCTTTATGCCGAAACGTCCTTGTTTTTTGTCCTGTTACCTTATTTCAAGCTTCCACATACCTCGTTTCACTATTTCATTCATTTATGAATTTATCAACAGCCTAAAATTATCAACAGTCTGTAACTTTATCAACAGTCTGTACAAATTCTTTTGCAGTGATCAAGGTTGGGAAATCTCAACCTTTGTAATTTTTTTTATTTTCCAACTTTGATCATGTATATACCATAAACCAACGTTATTACATAACCGTTAAGCTATCTGGGCCAAAAAGCGGCAAGCACGATTAGAGCATCCAGGACGCTCGCACTCAAAGAGTTCAAATAATAAATGTATACCGACCCTGAAACAAATAAATGTATACCGACCCTGAAAGTAATCAATGTATACCGACCCTGAAACTAATATATGTATACCGACCCTGAAACTAATATATGTATACCGACCCTGACACTAATATATGTATACCGACCCTGAAACAAATAAAATGTATACCGACCCTTTAATTGCAATGCTGTGAATTAAATTACTGGTTTTTTTTTTTAAATTTCAGCTTGTCACGTGGCTAAGGTTTGTCGCACCACCAACGACACCAGACTGCCGTCCTACAGGGACTTCACTACCGGTGTCATCGATGCCTTTCTGCAGTGGACACTGGACGGCAATCAAGACATGGAGAGATACGTGGTCAACCAGACGTACATGCCGTTACCTTTGGTGGACCTGGCATACGATATCTCCTGTTGAATTTGGACTTGGCTTACGATATCTCCCGTTAAGCTCCGGACCTGGCGTACAATATCTGATGTTGAGCTTGAACCCATCTACCGCTAAACTTATTCGCAAAGACTATAAATATGCCATGACACGAAATAGACAAACCTCTTCAAGTGGAATGTGAGGTTGTGCAGAAGACAGCAGCTTTGAATTTTCGATGAATGTCCATGTATGGAGCATTATAAAACGAATCGTGTATCCCGTGCATTTACTACCAGAGACTTTGTTTCCAAAATTGTATTCCTCCGATAAATGTTACGTCATTAATTTGAATCGCGGATTATTATTATAATTATTAAAATGGTCATACATAGAGCAGTACACCAGCTAGGCTCACCGCGCTTCACATATAATTTAGCAGCTACATTATACATTTAAAAACAGCTTTGTCGAAAGGCTAGAGATCTCACACACCCCAAGTACTTTCTACTCCTGTCTAAACATGAACGGCTACCAGCAGCAGCATCAAGCGTTGTTCATCAGTCAGGGAGTAGGGTGAGAATGAGTCGGTATGGCAGAGTTTGAAGAAAGTTATCTTGAGGACAATTTTGAAGGTTTGGATGGTCGGTATATTGCGGATGTGTAATGGGAGAGGCTTCCAATGTTTAGGGGGCGCAGAAAGAAAAAGATCTTTCACCGTGTGATTTAGTGCGTGTCCTAGGAGCAGAAAGAATACGCGTGTCTGCGGAGGAAAGAAGCTTTCGAAGGGGTGACTAGACTGAAAGAAGTTTCTATTAATGTCCTATGTGATAGATGTTTTTGTGTGTGTATGATTGTGTGAGCGCGTGTGTATGTCATGAGTGTGTATGTTACCTTCTGTTGTTATCATCTTTCACTAAACCAAAGAGAAAACCAGGTATTAATTTCATAAAACAGATACCCTAATTTTTGCATTATGATTTTAAAAAGTAAATACAATAATTGCTGGCATTGCCGCACTCTTAAACAAGGTTAGCTGAATTCCAGGAGATCACTTCCTAAAATCGACTTTCTTTTCTATGAAATCCGATATCACTTTGTTTTAATACACGTGTGGTCATTTTTCAGTTAACAATTTGGCTTAAGTACATATATAATCATCAACGTTGACCTTCAAGAATTATATATTTAATTACCTGCACTGCATTTATTTTTATTTATAATTCATCTGGTTCGGTTCATGCTGGAGGACAGTTAATTGTATAAAATACAATTTTATTGAGATTAAAATTAATTACAATGAAAAATATGATAATTTGGAAAGAAATTACTACACGCTTCACTGGGTTCGTCTTGGCGTGTCAAGTGCTAGAACGAAACTGTGAGAGCAAAATCGTATTATAAAATTATAATAATTTAAATAATAATTTAATAATTATAAAATGATTAAAAATATAACAAATCCGGTTATAGCATCTCTGAATAACACTCAAATGCTTTTAGGTTAGGGATGTCTGCCTTCTTGCATTTCAGTATGTTATAATTGTACAAGAAGAAATATTATTTGATTTTTAGTTCACTGCAAACTCATTCATTAAATTATCCACAATCTATATATATATATATATAATTCGCCAGCAAAGGTCAAACAAGACGGGTCAAACACCACACAGGCTATTTTTAGATACAACAGAGTGTGGTTCAACAATGAGTTCACTAGCGCGCAAAATATAATTCCCGATAACTACGCTAAATGATCTATATCTATTTTTAATAACGCAATTGCGTTTGGTGCGTAATATTTTCTTTTCGGAAATGAAATCGTCTCAATTTTAGTATTTTAAAAAATATTCGGTTTAAAAGAGGTTGGGACATGAGAATATTAATATAGTTCATGGGCGTGAAATAAAAAGTCTGCAGTGACGTATCATGGGGGAAGGGTGTAGCAAATATTGGGATTCTTAAATGTGCGTAACTTGAGTTCACGTTTTGTCAACTAACTTTAGTAGATTGGAAGTTCACGCCGCCAAGTTTGGCGGGCTCTATCTAGTAATTTATAATTATGTTACAAAGATTATTTCCAACTTTATTTAGAGAAGTGTATAATGGGATTATCTTGTTTTATAAAAAAAAGAACTTACAATAACTATAAATACAGTAATTTAAAAAAAAAATCATATACAATAGAAACAACAAATCTCTAAAAATCTGTTGTTGCTTTTTTTGTTTGTTTTTTGTCTGCTTAAAAAGGCATTTAGCCGAAACGTCATTTTAATTGTCGCGTCTTTTCTTTTCAAACTTAAACATATCTTGATCCCGTATTTATTTCGTTTATGCATAGACTAATAATGTTCCCGCTGTGTTAATTGCAATGAAAGTTCCGTGAACAGCAGAAGGCCCCTTTACATTGAGCTCAAGGCGTTTCACTCGGTAAGTTTGAGCGGACTGCTCAGTGCCCTACATGAAGCTAATTGTCCCCCAGTTCCCCCGAGGAAATCACGCCAGCACGTCATTCAGTAAAAAACAATTTCAATGTCTGGTGAACAGCGGCGCAAACGTGTGTCCGAAAGGGTGAGCATGCGTGAAATGACAAAATAAGAGCGCCCACGTTAGGCCAAAGAAAATCATCAGTTAAGTCTCTCATGCATAAAGGGGCACCCGAGACTACCATTCCGGGATCGGTCTCATAAGTCACTCAAAAAATCTTGAGGGGAGGGGGTGGGTGTGGGGAAACCCTCATCATCTTAGGAAGAAGCAATGATGGCGAGGAACAGTGCTCTGCACCAGTGAATGTCATACCGAGTACGGGACTCAATCTCCTGATTTTTAGGGGTCTGTCGGCCATAGCTTTTAGACCTTTGGTTTGTATTTTGTAGCCTGAAGGCAGTGGAGATCTTGACCCAATGTCGATGATTCCTGTCCACTTTTAGTGCTGGTGTTGTTTAGGGTGTCTGCGTATCACTGGGGTTTGCGTATCACTGGGGTCTGCGTATCACTGTCTTTTGTTTGTTGAAACACGTTGGTCTTAAGTCTACACGTTTACTACTGCCATCCAGACACCGTATACTTAACAATGGTAACAGCCTAAATGAATTCATTCGTTTAACTGGGGAGTACGCGTGTTTAAACAATAGAATAAGTGATCCTTTTTTTTTATTTGGTTTAAAAAAAGGGGGAGAAAAAAATGAGACAACTATATAAAAAAATTGCGTTTCATTTTCAGACTTTCCAATTGAATTACCGTTACGGAGTTATTTAATCTTTAAATCACGTGCACTTGATCATAATCTAATCATTCATGTTTTTTGTTTTTGTTTTTATAACTGAAATAGGATTGCATGCGTTTCTTTGCAGTGGCTCGGAAATGTATTCTATTTTATTTCAGATGGATGTTTTGATGTAACGTCAATGAATTAATGAGATCATATATCATACAGACATTGCATTAGCATAGGAAGGGGGTATACAAGAGGCGGTCCAAATAGGAAGAGGGCGTGGAAGTGGCGGTCCGAATAGGAAGGGGGTGTGGAAGTGGCGGTCCAAACCTGGGGGCACTCTTTCCCTCTATATTTTTGGCCAACTTCAGAGCTTTTGCGTGGTGCAGTGGCATCAAAAATCTTGTCCCTCCCAGGACGGCTATAATCCAACCACATCACTGGGACACTGCCACATAGGAGACCACGTGAAAACAATTATTTGCATCCAAACTTTACTGCAATTTAGTTTTTTTAATACGACATTTTCCTTAAATATTATGTTTCTAATTTTATTTAAAAAGCACTATTAAAATGTTATATTTTAGGTCGTCATTGGTTGGGAAAACTGGCCACAATGAACTTGCGCTAATAATAATAAAGAAAAATAAGGTAACGTACGACAACGTCTTACGATCTGTTGCACTTACCTCTATTGTCATGCAATGTTTGGAGAAACTTATTCAGAGACAAATTTTGAATGAAGTACAGCAAAAAGTTGACCCCCACCAATTTGCTTACAAACCTGACAGAAGTACGATGGGTGCAATCTTAGTATTGTTGAAGAGACTTTGCCATCACCTAGACAGTCCTAAAACATATGCCAGTGTGCTTTTCTTAGACTGCTCATCAGCATTTAACACTATAACCAACCACACATTATGATAAAGAAACTTTCCTCGTTAGGTGTAAATTTCAATATTCAAGCTTGGATACTGAACTTTTTAACAAATCGCCAAAAATATATCAAGGTAAATAACCAATTACCTCTAACCAGAGAAATAAGCACCGGGGCACCACAAGGCTGCGTTCTCTCCCCTGTACTGTACACATTATATACCAATGATATTCAAAGCTCAAGTGACCCCGTTCCAATCTTAAAATTTGCTGATGATACCACGATTGTCGGCTTAATATCTGAAGGAGAAGGCATGTACCGAAACTTAGTTACGAGCTTTATCAATTGGTGCGATGAAAATTCTCTCCAGCTGAATGTCTCAAAAACAAAAGAAATGTTGATTTCAGGAGGGGGAAACACCAGATGACAGATCTCAACATAAAAAAATCAAAGTGTAGAGAAAGTAGAGACATACAAGTACTTAATAATAAGCTATCATGGCATGAGCACGGTCAAATGTGGTATAAGACATTCAACCATAGACTGTCCAACCTCAAAAAACTGTACAATTTCGACGTAAACCAACAAATCATTAACTTATTCAACAGTGCAACTATTGGAAGCCTACTTAATGTCAGTATTAACAGCTGGTGTCTGAATTCATCGTCTGAAATTAAACACCGACTAAACCGACTAATCAAGAAAGCTAGAAACGTAACACAAAACTAAACATCCTTCACTTGAAGAACTATTTGAAGAAAGATGTTATTGCAAAAATAAACACATTTTGAATGATACATCCCACCATCTTCATTACAGATACTTAGGATCGGCCCGTTCGGGACGAATTCTTTCCGTCAGGGCGAGGACTGAAAGATATAGAAATTTTTTTCTCCCCCAATCTGTACGAATTTACCAGAGTGCTCCCCTTGAAGTCACAGATCTTAATGAGAACTAAAAAGTCCCAGCAATGGCTAACAGAACTCACCGAATGGCTGTTTTACTTTATTTTTTTATAAAGGTCTTGCGTTCAAATTGTTTAATTTATGTGCTGAAACTGTGCAATGCAATCATAAAACACTTCCATTTGTTTGGATCAATAAAAGAATCTTATCTTATTCATGTGTATAAATTGGTATATTTCTTTAGTTATTGATAGATTACATGATATTTTTTTAAAAATAACAATAACCACTAATAACAAATTATAAAAATGGTATTGAACGACGGACAACAATCGGTTTAGGATTGATAATACAATCAATCACTATTTTAAAGATCGATAGGTCGATTATACCATGTATCGACAGCTACGTCTCCCGCTAGACATATAAAATGTAGCGGGTTCGAATCCATGGTAGAGCATGCCCTTCATGGTAGAGCATGCCCTTCAGGGTGGTAGAGCATGCCCTTCATGATAGAGCATGACTGTCAGGGTAGAGCATGCCCTTCAGGGTATAGCATCCTCTTCAGGGTAGAGCATCCTCTTCAGGGTAGAGCATACCCTTCAGGGTAAAGCATGCCTCTTAGGGTAGAGCATGCCCTTCAGGGTGGAGCATGCCATGCCCCTCATGGTAGAGCATGCCCTTCATGGTAGAGCATGCCATGCCATTCATGGTAGCAGCCAATCTAATCCTTACCCTACGTGATGAGGACCAACAGAGTAGCCAGCTGACTTCCATTATCTCGGTGAAACAGTAACACAACTGTGAATATTTATTTTCCTGGGACGACACGTCGAATTGTTATCTTCCTGTTTTAACAAGTTCACAACAAGGTTTCATCTCACTAAGTCACAAACATCATGCTCGCCGTTATGTCGCTGAGATAAGAGCGTCAAGTCCACTAGTGTCAACATTTGCTTTGAAAGAGTTAAGAATTAAGAACAAGTCCACTAGCGGAGTGTTAAGCACCAGTGAACTAGTGTAGCGATATTTTTGCTTTGCGAGATCGAAGCGCACTAGTCAGTAGTCAGTAGTGTAGTGATTTTCTTTTTGAGCGTTAGGTACATGCGCGCTAGTGTAGTGTATTTCCTGGTGATAATTAAGAACTAAGCTGTTATAGTGTATAGTGTTTCTGATGGTTTCATTAGACTGTAACAACAAAATGTTGGTAGGACTTATCGTACCCGGTAAGACTGACCAATTATTTCCCATCCCTTCAAAACCTTCTGTAAATGAAACTGTCTCATTAGTTCACAAAAACTATATTAATATTTTAAAACAATTCTTTATACTATCTTTGCTTTTTTTTTCGTGGGTGTCTGACTGGCTGGTCAAAATCTTCGGACGGCTAATTGACCCACTTTCCGTCAACCTATCGAGCTGAAACTTTGGCACATTGACACGTTGCTGATGACAACACAATCTATCAAATTTTCAGCCCCAACCCACATAAATAATTATTTCCGGTTTTTCAAGGGGAAGACGAAGGAAACATGAAGGAAACATGATGACACTGATTTCAACGCATTAAAATTGACGCATACTGCGATCAACTAGATTTTTTAAAAATATTTTTTTACTATCGCAAGTGCGTTTTATGCGTATTGATTTTTTTCGTTTTCCTGAAATAGTTGTTGAAATAAATTGGCGGTGTAAAAGCAGGTGGGTCATTTGAATGTTAATAGAGTTCAGGGGCTTGAAAAAAGGGGGGGGGGGAAGGGAGTGAGAGGTCACTAACTGGGATTCTTATAAAATGCGTTATCTGCATGCATGTTTGGTCGAATTTTAAGCCCCCCCTCTCCCTCCCTCCTCACATATCTCGTTATGACATTTTATGAAGGCATAGTGCGAAAAATCATGTTTTTATGGGGGTTGTTTAATTGAAATGTAAGTTCCACGTGTAAGCATCTGGCGGAGAAACTAGAGCGTGTGATGGTTCCTCTTTCATATCCAGTGTCGCTGCCATGGTAAAACGGCGTAAACATGGATTGGATGGCGGTACCGAGAATTGAAAGGCAATACATTTTTTTTTAAAGTGTAGCCCATCTCTTGGCCGATTTTTTTTCCACTTCAAGGTATAGAGCTATCTTAGCCACCACAGCTTGTCGTCCGCTAGTATGGCCTTAAGATTGGCTCACCGAGTAAATGTATTGAGTCATTCC